CTTCTCCAGAACCTCGTGCTGTTCCTCTACCATCTTCTTGGCCTTCTGCATAGCCTCGTGCAGCGTGGAGAACGACCAAAGCAGACCATCCCTGTGACGACTTTCAACAGCTCATGTTTGACGACTTTCAACAGCTGATGTTTAAGTCACTCAAAAAGGGAAATCTGGGGCCCCTGTTCGCAAGTTGGCCTAAGGGCCTAAAGGTTCCCGAGATTGCCGTCCTACAAATTACACAGAACGGCTGATCAAACGGTCCTTGCATGCGGGCGGCTATTCGGGAAACCACCAAAACAGATATGGGAAAGTTACCCATAGTATTTTTGAGGCATTGATCAAGCCACAAACCTCCCCCGTACCTAGTAAGCGAGCAATAACTCCCACTGAGCAGGAGACGAACAAATCCATGGCTTTTGTGGGTTTTATCAGTAGTGGAGGGCCACGCCCCGCAAATAAATTGCTTCATACATACCCCCCACCCTACATTTTTTTTCATCTTCCATCTTCTACCCTTATTCGTTTTCATCATTTTTCTACATTCCTTTCTGTCCATCTCATCCGTTTTTTATCATCATTTTTCCAAAATTTTCGCCATCCTTTTCTCCTTTCTCCTCGCCTCATTCATTTCATCATATACCTCTCAAAATGTCATTTCCTCAATCTCCTCACCTCATCCATTTCAAAAAAATAAATTTTGCAAAATATATTGCAAAAAATATTTGTCATCAAAAAAATATTCGAACTGTCTAAAAACGATTTGTCCATTTCCCGGACAAGAAATAGAACAGCAACAACATCACTCCCTCCTTCGTTTCATCAGTTTTATCATATATTTTTTTGGGGCGTGGTGTCCCTTGTAGGATTTTATTGGGTTTTATGGTGTGGGGTTTCAACCGTCGGCGCCGCTCACTTGCCACGTCTTCATCTTCTACCACATTCCAGAGGCGGGGCGGAGGTTATGGGATGGGGGCAAAATCGGTGATGTCCACCCCAAAATCGGTGATGTCCACCCCAAAATCCCTAATTTCACCACCAAAATCCCTAATTTCACCACCAAAATCCCTAATTTCACCACCAAAAACCCTAATTTCACCGCTGACATGGCTGATTTCAAAGGTGAAAGTGGCACTTTCGGCAATAGGTTCGCACAGACCCAGATGATGGAAAAATGCGTTTTGTCCCAGCACCATCAGCATTTTTGACCAAGCAGTTTTAAGCTTTTTGTGGGACACCCGACGCCGTGCTAGGTTGATGAGCGAGCACAATAAGCTTGGGTGCGCCCCCCTTTTGACTGGGGGGGCAGGGCGGGCTGGCTTGGGTTTTGGGTTTGCTGGTGGGTCCCTCCCTCTCTGTTTTGTTTTTTCCTGCGCAGGTATCTTCAGCGTCTTCTTCGCCTACGAGACCGTGCCCTACTAGGTAAGGACTTGGTTGGGAGGGTTTTTTTGTTTTTCTAGGGCGGGGTATATATATATATAATATATAAGGGGAAACTCTCGCCATTTTTTTTGTGCCCTGTTTGGCAATTGGTGGGAGTTTCCTGATGTATCTATATGAATATTGGCGCTTTCTAAATTTGATAAACTATGGATTATCCCCTTAAAAATTAATATTTTCAAATTTTAGAATTCCTATTTTTTACTGTATTGTCGTTGGATGAACCTAGAAATTTCAAGTTTCAATCCCAACCCCAAACTCAAAATCCTTAATCCGTCAAACTCACTAAGATTTCACAAATTAATTCACTAGGTATTTTATATAGGTCTTCCTGCTTATGTATTGTTGGATTGTCTCCCCAATTTTCCTTGGTGCCCGATGGCAGTCTCTGCGCTGTTTCAATATGTTTATTATTCCTGATGTTGCCACAATCCTTTTTACATAATTCTCTAGGTTTCCAAGTTGTAATGTTATTCCAGAGCCTAGTGCGCTTTCTGTAAGGCATTCCATATTTACAATAATCAACATCTTTGAATTCAAACTCATCCATAAACTCCTGATGTTTTAATAATCCAGTTTGTGGATTTTCGATTACAAAATATTTAGGATTGAAATATTTGATAATCTCAATAGTTTTTAAGACAATACTATTTGCATATTCGATATTCCTAATTCCCCTAGTTTTTGCTATGCTGTATTCAGTGCATGGGGGACTACTCCAAATAAAATCAAAATGGTTCCTATCAAATTGTTTATAATCCCATTCCAAAATATCACAATTAATATCAGCATTTTTCAAGTCTAATGAGATTACATTAAATCCAAGCGACTTTGCTATGGTTCCGACGCTTTTTGTTCCGCTAAATAATTCTAATAAATTCATTTATTAGAATTATTTAGATATTAATTTTCAACAATTACATATTTACCATCATCGCCCTTAATTAGTTTATAATATTCTAATGTTTGTTCTTTTGGACTTTTGATTTGTCCCTTATTTAACATATCACAATATTTTTTACGCTTCGTGTCATAATCACCGCTGGGTCTGCCTATCCCTTTCTTTTCAAAGATTTTGTCAATCTTTTCCTTCTCTTCATTGTTATCTTTTGGTTCGTATGCCTTTGCATCAAGTTTCTGGTCAATAGTTTTTATCATCTCGTACAACAGTTTAACATTTTTACTAACTGTCATTATCTTCTTTGATAGTTCAACAATAACATTATTTTCATTTTCAGACATTACTATATATTTATTTAGATATTTATTTATTTAATTATATATTTTTCATCATTTGTTTAACAGTTTCCTGTGTTTCGTTTTCATTATTATCGGATGGTGTTGCTTGCCTACCAAATTTAAAAGTTATACTATGGACATCAGTTTCTAAGTTGATACTGTCTTTAGTTTTATCAATATTCATTTTCTTATCATTTTTACTTATTTTGAAACTTGTTGGAATACATGAACATTTACAACTTTTATTATTTTTTATTTGTAATTCATTCTTAAGTTCTAACATTCTTTTGCACGTAGGACAAACAACCTCAATAACTGATGTTTCTTTAACAACTTCTTCATCAGTTGATGAAACACTTAAACCTGTCTTATTCTTTTTGTTTTTCTTTTTTGGCATTTATATTAATATTTATATTTTTAATATATTGTATCAAAAACTTAATTAATTCTAAAATAAAATAACATATTTTTTACATCTATTATCAGTTATTAGTACTTGTTCTATATTCTCCATTTCATCTATTATATTAATATAATCTGTATAACTCCTTTTCATATTAAATAATAAGATAAATTATTTTTCATTTCTGTCTTTCTTTTCTTGTAAAGTTTTTTCATTGTATCGTCTTTATTCCATCTATATTCTACAAATTTCTGATGATATTTTGAATTTAGATGTTTAAATAAATATTTGTCATCATAAGTTTTACAACAATTGCAATGGATAACAGTCATATAATAATAAGATAAAATAATTATGTAATTATTTAATCTTATTATTTCATGCATTTTAGAATATTAGGAGGGCTCAGCACTGGGGTTTCACTGCAACACGCAAGCGAGATACAAACTAATTAGATTCAATGCTTATTGATTGAATCAATGGAAAACCTGTTCCATTTTTATGATATTCGCCGCCAGCATATCATAAAAACGATGGTCGCGTTAGCACGCGAGGCTCGTTCCTCACGTCCATTTAATATTAATTACAAGTTAATTTTTAAATATAATTTTCTATATATCTTTAATATCAACTATGACCGATGTTCCAATAATAAAACCAATAAACATAACTGAATATGAATTCAAACAATCTAAATATGAGCACGTGCCAAAATTACCATTTAGAAGTATTATAGTTGCTTCTTCGACAGGCGGTAAGACTGTCCTTATTCAAAATTTAATACTGAATGTTTATAGAAATTCATTTGCAAGAATATTTATATTTTCCCCCAGCGTCCATAACGACCCTACATTTACAGAAGTTAAAAAATATATCAGGGACGAATTGCACGTGGATGATGAAAAAGAACAAATTTATTTTGATAATTATAATCCAAGTGATTTAGAAAATGTAATTGAAAGACAGAAGAAAATAATTAATTATATGAAATCTAAAAAGATAAAGAAACTGCATTCAATATTAATCGTGATAGATGACCACGCAAACGACCCTAAATTTGTTAGATATAGTAAATTATTACATGGATTATTTACAAGAGGCAGGCACGATGCAGTAAGTGTAATTTGTTCAACACAAAAATATAATGTTTTAGCGCCTATCATTCGTTTAAATGCCAGTTCATTATATATTTTTAGGTTGAAAAATGCCAGTGAATTAATGAGTTTTATTGAAGAAAATAGCGCCATTGTTGATAAACAGCAATTATTAGATATGTATCGTCAAGCCGTTAATTTTGCTCCATATTCTTTTTTCTACGTGAATATGAATTCAAAAGACATTAACAAAATGTTTCATATCAATTTTGAACAGGCATTTCAAATTACAAATGATGAATAAAGATATTCTAGCTTAATATAATATAATAATATGCCAATGAAACTATGTAGATGTGGTGGATTGTATCGTAGAGGTAATTATAATTTTCATACTAATTCTTGGATACATAAACTTTATAAGGCATTGAAGAGGAGGGCAACGGACGAGGAATTATTAAGATTTCAAAATAAATTTGTTGACGAAGACGCTTCGCCAGAGGCTCGCGAGCTTCGCGACGATTTAATAGATGAAACAAATAGCACTGTTTCAACATCAACGCCAAAAAGTGAAAGAAGTTGTATAAGCAATTAATAGCATTAAGCCATAGGCTTAATGTTATTAATTCAAAATAAAGAATAACTACATAGATTCAAAGCAGGTAATTTATAATATATTTTATCTTTTTTACATTCATTAACTTTTTCTAATTTATTGATTATTGCTTTCAATGAATTTATTTGTAGAATATCAATTCTTGACATTTCACTTATCGTATTTACATCTATATCTTTTATTACTTTAATAGCCTCTTCGTCATCAATTTCTACTGGTTTTGATTTACTTGAACCCATTATATATAATATTATTTAGATTTTAATTTTTC